CTGAACTCTCTATGTCATCCATCCTGTCCTGTGGCTTCCCTATATCAGTGCAGGAAATGGATGAGCTGCTTCTTTGTCTGTAAAATGGGATAATAATCACCCACCTCATAGTGATGCTGTGAGGTTTAACATGCAAAGAATTTGGAGCAATGCCTGGTTGCTCAAAAGTATATAACAATTTTAAGATAAAAATGCTTCTGTGGCTGTTATGACTAGACTATTTTGTGTTATGGTGTACCTGATGGAGCTGGAAGGAAATTGAGGAGGAAGACTGTCTCAAACAGCTGTGACTCTCCCCTGTGACCTGCATTAAGTGGGTATTAGCAGACAGGTTGGAAAGGACTCTCTCAGTCCAGTGGTCCATTCCTTAGCACCTAGGGACATGGAGTCCAAAGATGTAAACTGAATCTCTCCAATGGCCATTTCTGTAGGGAGAGGTCAGCAGCCAGCTGGTGTTCTGGGAGTGTGCCTGCATGTTTGGAAAATGTGGGTCTTTCCTGGATTCAAAGCCATTCCGAACCCCAGCAAGAGACCTTCATCCTTGGAAGAAAGTCACTCTCCAACTTACCGAGAAATACACATTGCCTTCAGGCAAGACTCCTCCAACAACCAGATCACCTCCCGCGAAGGTAGAGCCATCTGTGACTCCCAAGCCCACCCAGCCAGCTGTTCGGACCTGGAGCTCAAAAGTGATCATCTCAGCCTCAAGGTCAAAGTCCCAGCGCAGGAAAACGACATTGGAAGGGTCTAGGAACCTGGAATAACGCAATCGAGATGTGGGGCCAAGGCGGTTGCCTTGGGAGGGGGCTGCCAGAACCATAAGTAGAAGGAGCCTGAAGAGAATGTCACAGGCCATGGCTCCTGGGGTCTGGAGTATCTCTGCTGTAGGTGAACACTCCATAAGTGTGGACTTATATGTGCTTTCCCTGTGCTGGGCACCATGCCATAGGGGAGGGACAGACTGGGGTTCTTTTGATCTGATCATCCCCTGGGCTCAGAGTGGTGCCACTTACATAACCTTGGAGGGATGAGGTGTCCAGAGAGGGTACAGAGCAGATTGCTCTTGCCCTGGGCTGGGGACTTATTATGAAATTCTCAGGAGTAAATCTTTGAGCCTCTTCCACCCAACCTCATGCTAGTGTCCTGACAATGGAGACCTTACAGAATAAAGGGAAGTTTAGTTCCTCTCCTCTGTTCTTTTCTTATCTCCTCTCCTCCCCTCCATTTTCTCTCCCCCTCTTCACATCCCTGGATCCTTGGATGTCCTTACTGAGCACTCCATCCTCTGGCGTATGTCCCCCACCTCAGTTTCTGTGGGCATTTTCTATATAGAGAAATGGGCATGAGCAGAATTGTGGTGGGTGTGCCTTTGAACCTGCCTCCCAGTGCAGCAGGAAAGAGAGTAGTTGTTGGGAGGGGGTTAGGGGAAGGCTATGATTTCTATCTCCTGTGGGAGTCTTGCTGCTAATCCCTGGAAGGACATGTAGAGGTGAAGGAGCCATAATCAGCTTTCAGGTGGGCGAGTCTGGGCAGCTTTGAGTTTTTGCACATTCCCGGGGAGGAGCAAGGAGGAGGAGGAAGAGGAGGTGTGGGGAAGCAGAGGGAGAGAATAGGGATAAACATGAACTTGCCTCTGAGAAGCTTTGTGCTTTCTAACCTTTCCTCCCAGGGAACCTACAGGGACTTTCACTGAAGGCTTGGCCCAGCATCCCCACTGGTGTTGTGCAAATAATAAACAGCCAGAAAAAAATGTTAGAATATTAGAATACAAGAGTAAAAAGTGATATTAGATCCACTAAATTTTTCAATCCACTTAATTTTTAGATGAGGAAACAGAAACACCAAGGGTAACATGAATAGTGCATGTGCCTGGTCACTGTGCAGGCAAAGCTACCAGAACACAGGGCCCTGCCTCCAGGCCAGTGCTCTCTCTAGCAGTCCCTTAAGTCACAGACACCAACAGGGCACCTGCCCCCACTGTACATTTCCACCATGGCTCATCCTGGATGTAGTTGGTGTCATCACTGACTGCTTCTTTGGGAGGGGCCCAAATGCTCACCCTTATACCAAAGTTCTTTCTGTCCAGGGTGGGACACAGGTGATCTAGTGCAGGAAACCACCTCATTGACCTCTTCCCATCCAGTGTCCTTCCTCCATTAAACAATGGACTGGCTCCTCCCCACAGGAATGCAGTCAAACGAAGGTAGGCAGGAGCTGGACCACCTATTTATGCCTTCATTCAGATCATGCATATTCTTCTCTCCTCCCTCCTACGAGGGCAACCATAATACCAAACTCGGAGAATGGGAGAAGGTAGATAGCTAGGCAGCCACCTGGAAGAAAGAGGCTTACCTTGGTCTAGGTTGGGAGCCAGGCCAAAATCAGAGGAGGAGCTTGGGGAGGCAATGACCTTGAGGAGCAGGAATTCAGGTAGGAGATAACAGGAGTATCCGAGACACTCTGATCCCAATCACATTTGGGGATTAAGGCAAAGGGAGGGGATGGCAGGGAGACAGGACAGCCAGCCTAGTAAATTGAGATGTGCCCAGGATCCCTTATTCTGCAATCTGTCCAGCTCAGTGTCAATGCTGGCCTCAGGAGGAGGAAGAGTCATGGAAAAGAGCTGGAGTCAGCCATTGCTAGCCAGAGAATCTATGTCTGGGCACCTTCTGGCTTCCCAGGGGCTTTCCCTTTCCTCCTTTGTTCTCCAGTTACACTTTCCTCCCAAACCCCTTTCCTTTTACCATCTAATCCCCAAAGAGACTTTCTCCACAGAGAGTTCAGAATTAAATGCACGTGGCTTGCTGGGTGAGGACACCTCTCTTGGCCCATGCATTTTTCTGTCATTCAGGATATGTGATTTGGACACTGCTTCCTGGAGCTTCATCCCTCTCCATCTCTGGGGTAACAAGGTGGGAACCGGTAATGGAACAAAAGGCAAAAGTGAATCAGCACAGGAGTATTTAGAAAGTAGTGCAATTGACAGTTTGTACACAATTAGATTTGAAATAGGGCGATGCAAAAAAAAAATTATATACAAAATTGTATAACGAAAATCTATTTTTCTTAAATCAAGAGAAACACAGCTTCAAAGTTAGTAAGACAAGTGAATTATAAATTGTATTATGCTGCCACCAAATGGATCCTTTGTCAAAATCATGGGAACTCTATTGCATGTATTACAACTTCTGAAGATTAAAAAAAAATTAGTGAATGTGGGAGGTGCAAACCCCCAGGTGCCAGCTGCTGCTGGGCCCTGATGTGGGGACTTTCCAGGGACGTGGGTCTGCAGATTTGCCCTGCTCTGGTTCCCTCCATCATTTATCAAGTGTCTGTGATGGGTAGACACCCAGTTGGAACATTGACTTGAATATTGTGCAGTTTCAAGTCTTGAAATAGTGAGGTTCAACTGCTAAACCCCTCTGCTTCTCCATACCGTTGTCTGTAAAATGCTGAGGTGGGAGAGATGGTAGATATGGGGCCTTATTTTAAAGCGAATTTGCCAGATCATTGGTTTCTAAACTTTCTGGAAAAATGAGGCCTCTTAATGCAAAAAGTTAGGAGAATTTATGATTTTAATCTCTGGTGGTTAAGTGATAGACGTTTAGAGAAAGATAAAAACTATTATTAATTCTATCATATTTTAATTGAATTTAAAATTTGCCATTGCATAAAAGTTCACTTTACAAAGGGCTTACCCTGTGCCAACCTTTGCTCTAAGAACTTTCCACATATTAATCCATTTATCCCTATGAAATAACTTCCATTATTATCTCCATTTTACAGATGGAGAAACTGAGGCCCAAAGTCACACCACTAGATAATGGCAGCACTATGAATCATTGGGGAAAATATAATTAAAGACAAAAATCTCCTCCCAATTCAGAATCTTGTCACAAAGGCAGAAGAGAGAGAAAACACATTTATTGTTGAATAAGCTTTAAATTAGAAGGTGACACATCCCAGGCATTTCTTTCAGAGATCAAGACAAAGAAGTCTAAGCCTTTTCTATAGGCCAGCAGAACCCATTATACACATGTTTTCAAGAGAAGCAACGACTGGCCCTCAAATGAGAGGACTTGACAGGACCCTTTGCTAATCCATAGTTCATCCTAGTGTCCTTGGTAACCAGGATGTCCCTCTGTGTTTGCTAAACGTCTTTATCTAAAGAAAAAATAAACTTGGCATATCTTTACGACAGTTATTTGTAGCTTTCAGTGCGACGTCTGCTCTAAATTGAGTTTCGGTTCATTCTCCTTGATGGCTATAGTTCAAAGAGTTGCTTGCAGGTCTTTGAGAAAGACATCTCTGGGTCTTGACCCTGGCAAGAATTGTTTAGCTTTTAAAAAGATTTATGTACTGGTACATTTCAAAGAGGCGGAGAAAGAACTTACAAGTTTTCTAAAGTAAATGCTCTTAGAAAATGGAGGAGAGGGAAGTCTCTTTTGTTACTTTTAACCGGGAGAATTAAGCTCTGCTGTTGAGTTTGTATTCCCCCTTCCAGAGGGAAACACTGGTAACTGGAGATGAGCATCTATTCTAAGACCCAGTGTGGCCTTGCAGCAGCCTCTGCCCACACACAAAGCATATGGGGGAGGAGGGAAGTCCTTGTTTAGTCTCCAAGGTCTTTTGGTTGCACTGAGGTATCTTAATTCCTTGCAAAGGGTTGAGGCACAGCTCAGAAGCACCATTCTAGGACATTCTGAGATACAGGAGAGGGTACAGGGCCAGTGAGTGAAGACCCCTGCGGACCATGGGGATGTGTGCCTGCATGTGTGGGAGGGGAGGTTGGCACAAGACGCAGGAAACGCTATCCAGTTTGAGGTTTGAGCTTCACTGAGAAGATGAGAAAGATGTATTTCCTGGAAAAGCCACTCCCTTTTGAGTTTCAGGCCCAGAGAGTGTCAGCCACTAATTGCCTCCTTACAGGCCAGGGTCCTGTGCTCCTGCCTGGCTGGCCTTGTCCCCCTGCCATTGGAGAGGATCCCAGGGGCCAGGGAATGGCATCGCTTTCCCTTCTGTGGGGCTGGGTGCTCATGGCTGCCCTGAGCACAGGTGAGATGCCAGGAGGATAGAGCCTCTCAGTGGGTTGATGGACGGAAAGAGAGCTGGGTCACTGGGGCACCAGGAGGCACAGAAAGTTTGCTCCTGGTCCAGATACTCCCAAGCATAGCCTCTTGCCCTGAGAAAGTATCCTTTCTGTCCTCAGATGTCTCCTATCAATACCGCTCATGGGACCTCCTCTTCAGGATTTGCCTATCCTAGTTATTTCTGGGGTGACCTTCACCCCCAGGACCTCCAGGCTGGCCTGTCTGTGTATTTCAGGTGCCAATGCGAGCTTTGTGGAACAAAGGCCCAGGTGGGCCCTGGTACGTCGGGGACAGGCTGAAACCCTGAGCTGCTTCCTGAAGGATGCCCAGTACCCCTATATGAGCTGGTACCAACAGGATCTCCAGGGGCAACTCCAGGTGCTGACGGCCAGTCTGCGGTTTTCTGGAGACAAGGAGGTCAAATCCCTTCCTGGAGCAGATTACCAGGCCACTCGGGTCGATGACAAGGAGCTGAAGCTGCAGGTGGCCAATGTGACCCAGGGCAGAACCCTGTACTGCACCTGCAGCAAAGACACAGTGAGAAGCCTTCCTTGGACAGATGAATAAAAACCATGTTCAGTTCCCACCCACGGACCCAAGCTCCTCCTCCTCTGCCCGACAGCACCTCAAGCCTGCTTGTCCCCGCCCCAGATCCTCCCTTCTGGCCTCTTTACAGCAGGTGAACACAGCCTGCATAGCACAGCGATGGACCACAAGTCTGGACCACCTGCAGACCTTGGCTCTGCCATCTGCAGTTCCAGTGTCTGTAAAGTACAGACAGCAACTCTACTCAGCTCAGAGGGCCCCTGCGAGGATTAAGCATAAGGTACAGGTACACTGGAAGCTCTTAATTAGCATTAGCTCCAGCATATGGCATTTTATTACCAGTCTCAACGCTCACAAGGGTGCTCGAAAGAGAGGATTCTGGGAGCTCAGAAAAGGGGAGAACGAATGTATCAATCTGTGGACCTGCCACTCACATCCGTGGAACAAGTAAACACCCACTTTTCCAATTAGATCCCCATTCTCAGTGCACACCACCACCTCAGCTCCTCACACCCAGTCTCAGGTTGATCGTTTTAAAAGTGAGATCCTAGAGAGGACAGGGATCTGGAACTCACCGTGGAGGGCTTAATACTCAGCTTTCAAAAAGCCATGGCTCAGAGCCGGGTTTGCACCTGGAGTCAGAGCTGGCCATGGCTATGAGGCCAGAATCCAGCAAACATCCGGAACCGTCGCTGGGAGGTGCATTGTGGGAGAGACCAGGACTTGAGGCCTCTGCAAAGACGGGAGGCAGGGTGGGCTGTAGTAGCTGAGCCACTCTGCTTCTAGTTCGGAGCTGCTGCATCCAAGTGAGCAGGTAACTGTGGTGCAGGTGGGAGTGAGCGAAGAGTAGGCATTTCAAAGGTACCTCAGTCGCTAAAGGAGGGGCTGCCAGGCACCCTTTCCTCAGCACTTGTATAGAGAGGAGAGATTTTTTTTTCCATCAGGGGGCGCCATCGGCCCACAGTTCTCCGAGCTCCGCACAGAGGGCCTGTGATCAGTCACAGGTGTTGGTGCTCTCTCAGCCTCTCTCAGGTGCTATGGTGAAAACCTGCTCGGCTCTAGAGGAAGACAGTAACGGGAGGCGGTCTAGAGCCCAGCGCAGAGCCGGGCCCAGAGTCCTGGACACATTGTGATACGTGTGTCCACTCAGCCCTCAGGAAGGGTACTCTTGTTTGAGAACACGGTCACTGGGAGGTCCTTGGCCACCAAGACGCTATTAAATACAGAGCAGATGGCAGGCCCTGGGCAACCAGCTTTTAAAGGTAAGCTGGGGCCCTCTGCTGTAGTGATGGAAGCCACCATTGATCTGATGGGTTCCCTTTTACTTCAGTCTCTGAGACCTACCTGGACATTTCCCAGATGCAGTTCCGCTCATTTGTACCATAAACTGAGATTAATACCAAGCCCTCCTAGACTGATGGATGCTAGGGGTTCAAACAATACTTTTTGTTGTTTTACTAACGTACCTTTTAATCCATTGTTTATCGCTTGTTTTTGCTTTGTGATCCAATCTGAGAATGTTGTGTTTTTTAAATTTCTTTAATGTTTTTTTTTTTCAATTGGAATTGACATTTAATATTATATTTAACAAACAATACTTGCTTTGTAATTCAGTGGATTATATTATTCCCTCAGTGAACTGAAAAGACTTCACCTCGCTTATGCATGGTTCTGTTTAATATATTGCTACCAACTGCATGTGTACTTCTGTGATATTAAGATCTCTCAGAGGGTTGCCCTGAAGAAAATAAGAGAACAGAAATCTTCTCAGGAGACAGAAATTTAATCAACATATCTAGTAGTTCTCTTTCTAGAGGCCAAATGTATATGCCTTTCTTGGGAGTGGCAGGTGCTCAGAAGGAGCATGGAGGAGGAAATGCTTGGGAAATAATTATGTAGTATGGATTTTCAGGGTCAGCTTGAGCAGGAGGATAATTTTATTCAATGGGAATTCTCACCAGAATGCTCTCACTTGCAGACTCTCATAATCAGATGGACAAGCTGGTCTGGTCTGAAATTCTTTCTCATTCTTCCAAGTGTTTTTCTAAATGGCTTTATAAACAAAGGAAACAATGGGACCACAAGGGACATATGCAGGGACTTCTTGCCTGGCTCAGCTGGTTACCACCACTGCTGAAGACCCCATTGGCCAGTGTCAGTGACCAACCTCAGCCCTGATCTATTACTGTACTCCAAGTATCCCACCAGCCAGGTGGTAGTAGATGGACCCCTTGCATTATGCTCTTTGTCCACACTGAAAATGACATATTCTAGATTTAGATTTTCTTTCCCTTGTCATCATCACTCCCAGCCCCACCATCCTTGAATACACATAGTCCACACACACAAAAAAAGGAATGTATTTTTCAACTGAGGAAGTCATCTTAGAATGACAATGATCATACAGCAAGCTGATGCTCAGGGAATTCAGTGCCCTTAACATATGCTTTGTCATCTAGAATCATCTGAACTTATAAAACATCAGTATGAACTATTGAAATCTTAGCACCATTTCAAGCTGGAAGAAATCTCTATTTGCCTGCAAAAACCATCTATTTCTACCAAAGCTAAAGTTTCAGTTAATAACTTATACAAAGATGAAGCTCTCACAATTGCACTTAATAATCCACATACAAAATGTTACTTTTCAACAAGCTAGGCTTCACTGCTTCAGAAGTTTTAGAAACTTAGAGAGGACAAGATTTACTGATGTAACTTATTATGTCATAAGCCCACAGTCTGCCTTTGCATTAACCTCCCATGGCTCAAGTCCATACTTAGAATCCTGCAGAATGAATGACCAGAATCTATGCCTGGTGTTGAGAATTGGATGGGCGAGGAAAAACGAAGTGCAATACCTCCCAAAGCCTCCCTCCTTACACCCTTTCCTCTGACCTAGACTTCTATTTAGCCCACTTCTTGTCAAACTTCCTTTTCCCAATGTCATATGTAAGTTGCACATGTTTAATTCCATGCAAGTAGTAGGCATTTTGTCACTCCACGTGGCTATCGAGTGGCTTTTCTCCTCCACAATAAGTCAACTTGATAGAAAGAACACTATCCCCATTGCATAAACTTTAACTGTCTAAGGGGAACTGAGTTTGCCATCTTCATTGACAGGGGAAATCGGAGGATTGCCGCATATAGTCACAGTACAGGTATGAACAAGTCACCTTCTCTGTTGTACAGAAATGAGACAAGAATGCTGGATGGAACCCAAGAAGTCTATTGAACCCAAGAGTTGCTTGTGAGGTTGGACATGGGTACAGGCTGTGTCAAATGGTCCAGAATTCCTGCAGAGGGAGCTTAGTTGTTTTGGATTGTATTTTCAATCCAGGGTACATAGTTAAAGATTCTGGTATAGATGCCAACATCAGCTCTCAAAACACATCCATCAGTAAAAGCAAGGATTCCTTGAAGTATCCCATTGCAGACTGCTGGGGCGGCTGAGACTTCCTGCCAAGAAAAGGAAACTGGGTTATCTTTCTGGCAAAAGGCACTGGACCAAAATGGGAACAGGAAGGTATTGAGAGTAGCTTACCTTGCAGGACCGCCTTCTTCCTGGCACAATGCCCAAACACAACATACTTTGTGTGATGTCATAACTTTTATAGGCATTGTGGCAATCAGTCTTGGAGATAACAGAGATGTTCACATTCTGCAGTGAGTCAGGGTCCTTGGCTATAGGAAAGAGAGAAGTAAAATGTCCTCAGATACCAAACCTTCTCTTTTTTCCGTCTTCTTCAGCATATTTCCTCTTCTCCCAGCAGAAAGGAAAAGAGGCCAAATACTGAGAGAAATCAGAACTGTGGCAGCTAGGACAACAGGAAAGTATCAAATTAACAATTTCTCATGAAACAAATGTCTATCTTCTTACAAAGTAAACTAAACTCTTGGAAGTTGATCTCTACAATGAAATGAAACAAATTTCTTTAAAAATTTTTTCTGGAAAATTTAAAGAGTGTCCTGTGAAATGAAGTTTTATTTATTTATTTAGCTTTCATATTTTTTATTTGTCCCATATTTTAAATTTATCACTGACTCCTTTTTAAAAAGATATTTTATTGATTTTTTTACAGAGAGGAAGGGAGAGGGGTAGAGAGTTAGAAACATCAATGAGAAAGATTGATCAGCTGCCTCTTGCACACTCCCTACTGGGGCTGTGCCTGCAACCAAGGTACATGACCCTTGACAGCAATCGAACCTGGGACCCTTTAGGTTAGTGTTCTATTCACTATGCCAAACTGTTTAGGGCCACTGACTCCTTTTTAATTTATTGAAATATATTTGACTTGCAATGTTGTGTACATTTAAGGTGTACATGCTGATTTGATATGTTTATAGTGTAATATGATTGCTATTGTGGCAATAGTTAGAATCAATATCATGTCGCATAATTATAATTTCTTTTTTGTGGTGGAAATAATTAAGATGTAGTCTCTTAGCAAGTTGGATTATAATGCAATATAATCCATACTGTGCATTAGATTTCCAGGACTTGTTTATCTATTAATTGCACGTTTGTACCCTTAAAGTTCTATATGTCTATTTTGAGCTTAAAGGAATTTAGAGAGCTTTATACTTATTTTTTTCATTTGTCAGATTAAAAAAATCCAGTAAATGCTCACAAAATTAACTCAAAAAATAATTTTTTAAACCCATAACATGAGAATTTAGAAGTTCTTTAAAGAACTTAAAAGTGGGTCTCTTGATTTCTAATTCAAGTTATTTCCTTTATATCAATGTTTTGCAAATACTTTAGACTGTGAAGACTCATGGCAAAGTTTTTGTGTGTTTTTTATTTCAGTACAACAGAATGAGATAAACAAAAATAAAGTAATATTAATATTTATGTTAGGTATTCTTGCCAAGGAGAAAAGTAGTTTATTTTGTTTTTCTAATAGGATTGTGTTTATTTGAATTTCTTTATCTGGAAATGGTATATTTATTCTTACAAATAAAATTTTTGATGTTCTTTGTTTTATTTTCCAGTCCAGCAATAATGGTATGGCTCAGCATTTCTTCTGGGAATGCATTTTTTAAAAAAATATATAAATAATATTTTTAATTGCAGTTGAAAATAAATATTATTTTGTATTAGTTTCAAGTGTACAGCATATTGCATAAATGGAAAAGAATTTTTAAGAAATGCTTACTTCACTACTTCATGAGGCAGATAAAAATAAACGCACTTTTTTTTGTAAGTCACTGGTCTTTGGCAACCAAAACAAATCAGGCATACTGATCGCCTGATGGACGTTTGCCTGTTTTCAGAACTCAAATTGACTCTCAAAAGACAAAGAATTTTTATTTGTCTAGACAGGTCATTATAATAACATAATAAGCTAGACGCAGAAATCCAAATACTATATGATCTTCCCTAAGTGTGGAATCTAAACAAGCTGAACTCATGGAAATAGACTAGAATGGCAGTTGCTGATGCTCCAGGTGGGGTATATGGAGGTATGTTGACCTAAGGGTATAAACTTTGAGTTATAAGATGAAGAAGTTCTGAGGGTATAATGCACAGCTTGGTGACTATAGTATATAATATTATATTTTTGTGTATTTGAAATTGTCTAAAAGCATAGATATTAAATGCTCTCAACACACACACAAACAGAGCAAATATGTAAGGTAATGCATAGTTAGCTTAATTGGAGCATCACATCACTGTATTTATATAATACATATAAATGGTATTATACACCTTCAATATATGAGGTGTTTATATGTCAATTATACCTCAATAAAGCTGGGGAAATAAGAATTTCTACTTTAAAATATATTTTTTTTAAATGTAGCCCAAGGTGTGAAGGTATTGACTGAAGAACAGTTGAAAAAGGTTGCAGTGATGGCGGGATTACTAGGATAAGTGTATAGCCACCTCTTGCTTCTAGAAAAAAGAGTAGCAGTGGGAGGATGAAAGTAATCTGACAGGCTTGTTGAAAATGACTCTCCTCCTATATTATGGTTTCTAGTATCTGATGTATATTAAATATATTCAAATAAGTTACTCATAAGTAAAATTCAATCAATAGTTTTTCCTAAGGGACAATATCATAGTGCTATTTTTCTTATACTTGATCAGTTTTCATACTTCCTGAGTATTCACTATCTTGGTTCACAGCTACAAACAGTTGATAAAATTTGAATGAAATTTTTGGAATGAGATAGGCAGTAGACAGGCACAAAACTTAGCCAAGAGAAAGCTGTATTAGTGTATTCAAAGTTATGTGTGTGTGTGTGTGTGTTTTTAATGGAATCTAAAAAGTGTGACATAGAAGAAAGTTGAGTTAGAACATGCAGTTTGGTGGTTTCAAATTACAGATAGAGACTTTTACTGATAAAATTATGCGAGTCATTTTTTGCTGAATACATGAGAGAATGTTCAGAATATCACCAGTTCAAAATGTTTCAGAAATATTTTTCTTAAACTTTTCACTATTTATGTCTATCACAATCTTGCATCAGAAAGGTCTGCCTGACTAAGCACAATATCAGGAATACACCTTATGTTTAATACATAAGCATTATTTCATGATATTTAAAGGTAATTTTCTTGATTGCTTAGAATAGTTTGAAAACATCTAATATAGGTTAAACCACATTTTAGAGTTAAGAGGGTCCATGGTGAAGTGGCCCATTATCCCACAGCAAAATAGGACCAGAATACAAATGTCTTCTTTCCACCAACACTACTTCTATTTTATATGAAAGCAAAATTTATAGAAAGATACAGTAGAGGAAAAGGCTTGAGGGACTCCCTAAGTGAGGTTTAGGGAGAGGGTAAAGGAGATAAAACAGATGAATAAAGAGGTTAAAAGAAAGAACTGTGAAAATTGTAGAAGCCAAGAGTAGAGAAGAGATAGAAGCATGTCTGATTCTGAGAGAGGATCTTGGGGTCACTCACAGATGTCACAGATGTTGTAAGCCCAGGTGGAGACCATGCACATGGTGTTTTCGCTGGGAGGTTCTTGGGGCAGGCTGACCAGTTTCACATAGTCATTGACTTCAATGTATCTTTCCAACTTGATCAACATCAGGTTATTCTCAATAGAAGTGATTGAGAAGTACGGGTGATTAATCATCTTCGAGTAGCCAACCACTTGTACATCTTCTTCAGTGGGGTTTGATGGTTTTGTAACCCCCAATACCACCTTAAGATTCCTGGAACAATATGGGTGTTCTTGAGAGGACTTAACAGAGATGGCTTATCCATCCTTCTGGCCCTTTATTTGCTCATCCCCACAGGCTTATTTCTCTATTACTGAACATCCCCAGAGGCATCCCAAAATCCTATTTAATCAGTCCTTGCAGGGGTCTGTTCCCAACCTGAGCACCCTAAGAATAGAGGGGCATTGGGACTTATTACTCACAGTAAGTTGCAGGTTGAAGCTGTAATCACCCATAGGGGGTGGATCAGGACTCCAGTGCAGGGCAAGTAATCAGATTTCAAATAGACCAAATATGGGGGAGTGATGTCATGTATGTAATTTGGGTCATAGGCCAAAGCACCTGGAAAGAGAAGCATAGATAGGAAATTCTGAGGGTTGTTTTTTTTTTTCAGAGATCACTTGAAAAAAATGAGGAAATTTACTTAATAGACCCAAATCTCCCTATTTTCTCTTCAATATCTTCAACTGCAAGCTGACTTTGTAATCTGGCTTACTTTATTTAAAATATTAAGAAAACTAGAGGCCCAGTGCATAAAATTCATTCAGGGGTGTGTGGGGGGGAGGGTTGTCTTTAAGTCTGCCCTGAAGCCTCTCTCTCAATCTGGAACCCCTTGGGTATGGTCCCTAGGCCTGGCTAGCGATCAGGGCCTACCAGGGCTATCCTTCCCCTGGCTGATCAGGCTCTATCAGTGCTTTCCTTCCCCTGGCTGCCCGTATCTGGCCCCTCCCCTGCCACTGCCATTGCTTGCCATCTGTGAAGCACTGCCCCCCCACCCACCCACCATTCCGCCACCAGTCACCTCCCACTGCGGGTGACAGACATGGGGTGCTATCACTTGGCTGGCCCTGCACACTTGCCACAGTGTAGCTGGCTAGTGGCCTAGTCCCCCACTTTGTGGGATGATGGATCGACCCCTGCAGAGGGAGGCCCCACCCACACACTGCAGCACTGCCAGCTGAGTGGCCTGGGCATCCCTCAGCAGGGCAATTGATCACAGGGCTCTGTGATTGATAGCTTTGTAGAGGGAGGCCCTTCCCAGCAGGCCAGGGCTCCACAATCGATTGCCATGCAGAGAGTGGCCTGGGCCTCCCTCTTTGGGGCAATTGTGGGGCGATTGCAGGGCCCCCTTGACCAATCTCATTGCACTCGCCTTTGCTGGCCTGGTGCCAGTGCATGTCATAGGGTGGTTGTCTGGGAGGTCGTCTGGAGGGTCATTCTGCTGTTCCATTGTTTGGTTGATTTGCATATTATGCTTTTATTATTATAGATAATAGAAACATATGTATTTCAAAATATAAAAAGTGTTTTCCCTTTCAGTCATCAATATGTATTGTTTCAATGAAAACACAAGCTTTCTCAAATACCTTTCACAATTTAGTGGACATTTGTTAAATTAACGCTTGAAGAACTTCATCACTATTTTTATCAGTTTTAGAATGCTTTGACCAATCTCATCCAGTCCTCCCAACAGCAATGTAAGGAAGAACGATATGTGCCATTAAAAGAACAGACCAAATACTAACAGAGTCTAAGGAGGGGAAATCACCCATTCATTCAAAATGAAAACATTGAGTATCTAGTGGTACCAGGCTGTTCGAGGTGCTTGGGCTATATAGTGAAAAATACAGAGACATATCTCTGCTCTCATACATTCTAATGAGTGGAGACATTCAGAAATAACAAACATAATCCACAAGTAATTGAGACAGTATGTTAGATGATGATTAGTGTTTTGGAACAAAAGTAGAACAAGGAAAAAGGGGAAGGAAGTAGCAGGATTGTGTGTGGGGGGGGGGGGGTTGCACCGTGCAGAATTACATTGATAATCAGGGTAAATATCATGTACATGAGGGATGAACAGTAGAAAGAAGCTGGGAAAAGGAGATAATCAGATTCCTGGGTAACGGGATTTAGGCAGAGGAAACAGCTGGAGAAGAGGCCTAATGCCTGTTTAAGGAACAGCAACAGAGGCAATGTGCCTGGCCTGATGAGTGAGAGGGAGAAGAGCAGGAAAGGAGAGAGGCCAAAGAAGTGATACAGAGCTTTATAGGACTTGGGCTTGTCTCTGAGTGAAATGGGATGTGTGATGTGTGATGAATGAGTGATGATAATTTCCTTATGGAGAAGTGTTGAGTATATAGCTGAGTGTAAGGGTATAAAGCAGAGAGGCCTGTTAGAATCATTTAAGCCAAGCAAGAAATGGTGGCTTGGCTCATGGTGAGCAGTGGAGGTGATAACATATTATTGGATTCAGATTTATTTAGAATATGTATTCAACAAAATTTCCAAACAGATTGAATGTGGCATGTGAGAGAAAGGGGATTTATGATTACCTCCAGGGGTTTGCCTGAATATTGGAACCATGCCCCAACAAGACCTCATACCTGTTCTAGACTGGCTCAGGGTCAGCTCTCACTCTTCCTTAGGAACAGATTTGGTATTGAGGTTCCTAGGTCCATTCCTCCCCCAAAAGCATACAGCTGTTAGCCTGAGATGAGGCAGACAGTAGGAAACCTGGTGGGGATGGTGGCAGCAGTGAGGGAGAGGGAATCAAACCTACACTTGTAGTCTGAAATGCTGTTCCTACTTTATCCACCTTTCATGCTTCTGGGATTTATCTTAACAAGAAAAATGTGCCAACACTCACAAGGCAGATTCAAGATCACCCAGAAGAGGATAAACTTCATAATGATGTCAAAAACCTTTTCAAAGGATGAAGTTCAACTCAGAGTCTCTGGAAAGGATGAAGAGAAGAGAAAAAAAGAGAGTAAAGGATTAATTAAGATAAGGCAAGAAAGGGCTGGGAAAAATTATCATCTTAATTCTTTCAATGGCAGGATTCAGCTCCAGAAGAAGTGCTTCTCAGTCAGAGTAGGTGGTAGTATCAAGTGTCAGAAGAAGAACAGAGATCAGGTGACTTGGTCCTTGACATAGTAGAGAATAGATCAGTGTTTTGCTCCCCATCACATTAAAAAGTACCTAACCTGAGAGATGTTGAAGCTTACAGTGTGTCCATAGCCTCCTTTTCTCTGGTCCCTCCTTTGTGAAACTCTGAAATCATATCCTTCTGTGAACTGCATGCAGGATACTGGCCCCACCCATCTATGTGATGCTACCACCTGTTTATGTGCCATTGACATTCATCTCCAGTGGCTATAACCCAGCACTTGTGCTGACCTCAACCCCTCTGCCTGACATTAAATACCTACCTTCTCAGATATATCAGCCCTTTCCTTCATGTCACTACTCTCCCATTTATTTAGTTAACCAGCCAGCCCATAATTTATATTGGGCATCTGTCTCGGGCTAGGCTCTGTGCTTACTATTGAATTTGCCTAAATGGGAAGACACTTTCTGCCTTCAAAGAGCTTATAGCCTAGGTTAGTGGTCAGCAAACTCATTAGGCCACAGAGCCAAATATCAACAGTACAATGATTGAAATTTCCTTTGAGAGCCACGTTTTTTAAACTTAAACTTCTTCTAAGGCCACTTCTTTAAAATAGACTTGCACTCTGGTTTCTCTTCAGATCGTATAAATCTTTCGCCTTTTAAAATAGACTTGCTCAGGCCGTGGTATTTTGTGGGAGAATCACACTCATGTGGCTCACGAGCCAGTTTGCTGACTGTGGGCCTAGTGGAATGATAGGGACATTAAAAGGCAATTACAAAACAATATATTCAGAGCTAAAAATCTATACCACTGTCTAGGTGGGAAAATTTGCAAAACACCTATCCATTAAATCATTCATGTCAAATATATAAGGAAATCTTAAAACTCAACAATAAGGAAACAAACTGCCTGATTAAAAAGGGGGTCAAATATCTGAACAGACACCTTACCAAATGTCTGCTCAGGCTGCCATAACAAAATACTATAGACTATGTGATTTAAACAACAGACATTTATTTTCTCACAGTTCTAGAGACAAGAAGTCCATGATTAAGTTGCCAGCAAGTTAATGTCTGGTGAGAGCTCTCTTCTTAGCTTGTGTACAGAAGCCTTTTCACTGTGGCCTTTGCACAGAGGGAGAAATTCTGAGCCATCTCTCTGGTTGTTTAGTTTTATATCAGATTAGTGCCTGCTCCCTTATGACCTCATTTCACTTTAATTCGTTCCTGTAGCCCCTATCTTCTAAAAACAGTCACACTGGGGTTTTGGGACTTCAACAGTACAATTTGGGATGACACAATTCAGTCAATAACAACAAAGAAGATACACAGATAGCACATAGCATATGAAAATATTCTCAACATGTCATTAAGGACTTACAAATTAAAACAATAATGAGATACTACTACATACCTCACAGAATGGCTAAAATCCAAAATACTAAAAACACCAAGTGTTGGTGAGAATTAGAGCAAAAGGAACTTTCATTCATTGCTGGGGGAATGCAAATAGTACAGCCACTTTAGGAGATAGTTTGGCAGTTTCAAACTTTGGAAGCTACCAAGAATTCCTTAAATACGTGAATGAACAAAGTGTGGTATGTTCATATAGTTCATACAATGGAATATTTATTTGGTGATTCTTAAGAAATGAGCTACCAAGTGATAAAAGACATAATAAATGCATACTAGCAAGTGATGGAAGCCAGTCTAAAAATATACCTCGTGTGATTCAAATTTATGACATTTTAGAAAAGGCAAACTATGGAGACAGTAAAAATATCAGTGTTTGACTGAGTTTGAGGAGAAAGGGAGAGGGATGAACAGGTGGAGCACAGAGCATTTTTAGGGCAGTAAAATTATTCTGTAGGGTGCTCTAATTGTGGATACATGACACTGTGCCTTTTTAAAATTGATTAAGGTATTACAAATGTGTGGTTATTCCCCCAGTGCCCCCCCAATCCTGCCCTCACTCTTACCCTCTGTTTTCTGCATCTATTGATTATGTTTATATGCATGCATACAAGTCTCTTGGTTGATCTCTCCTCCTTTCCCCTCCCCTCCCCTACCTTCCCTCTGAGGTTTGAGCATCTGATTGATGCTTCTCTGTCTCTGGATATGTTTTTGTTCATTGGTTTATGTTGTTCATTATAATCCACAAATGCGTGAGATCATGTGATATTTAACTTTCTCTGGCTGACTTATTTCACTTAGCATAATGCTCTCCAGCTCCATTCATGCTGCTGCAAATGGTAGGAGTTCCTTCTTTTTTACAGCAGCATAGTAGTCCATTGTGTAGATGTGCCACAGTTTTTTAATCCACTCATTTGCTGACGGGCACTTAGGCTGTTTCCAAACCTTAGCTATGGTGAATTGTGCTGCTATGAACATAGGGGTGCATATATCCTTTCTGATTCATTTTTCTAGATTCTTGGGATATATTCATAGGAGTAGGGTTGCTGGGTCAAATGGGAGTTCCATTTTTAGTTTTTTGAGGAAATTCCATACTTTTCTCTAACCCATAGCAATCTATAATAAGAAAATTATAATATGCTAATTAGACCAGATGTCCTTCCGGACAAAGCTGGGGCTGCATGGGAAGCCTGGTCCCAGATGTCTGCTGGCAACGGGAGGGAAGGAAGACCTAATCTTGCATGAATTTCATGCATTGGGCCTCTGTGGCGAGCCGGCACAGCCATAGCATACTCAGCCACAGGGCGCCTTCTGTGCCGCGCCAGTTCTGCCATGTTCGGTGACCCTGAAAGGCTTAGAAAAGACAGAAAAAAGAAGGAAAGCTGGGTCTTGGTGGGAGACTGCTTCCCTGATGGGGAGACAGTACCACAGACTACAAGCTGTGTCTTTATTTTATAGCCAGATGCCACGAGACAAAGTAAGGGCATGGTCAAGATGTTTACAACATTCTTGTTAGTTTTGATCCTACTCAGTTTCATGCACCTGATCAAGCTTTGTTTACTTGCAGCCTTTATCACTTAGGCACGTGAGGCCACGTGTTCGGACCATAGTTTCAAGTTTACAACTACAGCTGTTGGCTATCATTGTGAGGGGAGGGCTCCGCCTTCCACACTGGAACTTGCATGTGGCCATGAGAGGACTGTACCCTCTCATCAGTCCAAGGCTTGAACCTGTCCAAACACTGTAGCTGCACCCCACAGGCCTCTAATGTATAAAATAAAGAGCAAACCCTAATGTATAAACTATAAGTTTTAGTTAATAATAATATATCAATATTGATTTATCAGTTGTTTTAAACCAAAGTAAGATGTTAATAACAATAGGATTTCTCAATGTTAGAATTCAGGTGGTGGGAATATAAGTAAAAACTGTAAAATTCTTTCATCTTTGTTGTATATTTAACATTTTTCATAGCGACATTTGGGAGAAATTTTTTTAAATGGAAGTAGATGTCTTGGAGCACAATGCTAAGGACACCTCTTCAACCCACAATGTGTGTAAGAAAACAACCAAGGAACTTGTCTGGCATCAAAAGAAGAGAAAAATAATTCAAAAAGAAGAGAGGCTTCTGTAAAGGCATGAATGTGTGAAATAACATGGAGAGTTTGTGGAACTATGAGTGTTATAGGAAGAGTGTGAAGAGCTGGATGGAGAGACAAGCAAGGATTCAATCCTGAAAAGCCTTATTAAATAAGCCTTCCATATTTAAGACATCAGAAGTCTTTAGCTAGTTCCTACATTAAATTATTTAACAAATACATTGTTATTTAGTCAATATATTCATTATTTAACAAAGTTCTATTGAATGTTGTTGAAGACAGACCCGAAGGCCCATGCATGTTCATGCCCTGCATAAGGCCTCCCCTTGAGTGTGGATAGTACCTATTACTTGCTTCTAACAAATAGAATATGACAGAAATTAGGTGATGTCATCCCCATGATCATGCTTATATATATTTCTTCACCTTGATAATATGCTTGAGATTCTTCCCACTTGAAGCAAGCAGCCATGCTGAGAAAGCCCACTTGGCAAAAAATTGTGTGTGTGTGGCCTCTTTGTACTAAGGACCATCTTAAGGGCTTGAGGGCAGCATTCAGCTGATAGCCAGTAAAAAGCGAAGGTCTTGTGTCAGAGGATCACAAGGAATGGATTCTGCCAACCACCTGAATAATCTTAGAAACAAATTCTTCCTTGGAACCTTCCTAGACCTAAAGAAAAGACCCAGCTAAGATATATCTGGACTATTGACTTACAGAAACTGTGAGATAATGTTTTGAGCTGTTCAATTTGTGGTAAGGCTTGTATGGAGCAATAGAAAACTAACACATATGGATATTGTGTGCTGGTATTTTATTAGATATTGATGATTTAATGGTGAGAGAGATGAGAATTGTATCCTCATCAACCATAAAGACTAATAGGGGAAACAGGTGTGATAAGACTTGCCACTGAATGTCACAATGAGGAAAGTAAAGAGAGTTAGAGAAACACATAGATGTTTTCCCATGTAAGCTTAAGAAGAAGACCTCCTTGAGGAAGTGATGCTTGAGGCTTGAAGAATGAGTAGAAGTTAACCAAAGGAAGACATACTGGGAAGATGAACCAGGGCTCATAAGAGAGCAAAGCATATATATATATATATATATATATATATATATATATATATGTGTGTGTGTGTGTGTGTGTGTGTGTGTGTGTGTGTGTATGAATAGAGAGAGAGAAGAATTTTATAAAACATAACTTTCAGTAATTGTCAAGAACTTTCTATGAAGAAGACAGAGGAGGCAATGATAGAGTAGATCAAGGGAGAATGTCCTTGGGCTC